CAAGAAGTTCAAGTCTATGACTGAATTACAGACACAAGGTGAAATGCATAAGAAGTGACAGAGGTGGAGAGTTTCTATATACTGAATTTGTGGAGTTTTGTGAAGCTCAAGGCATCCAAAAGCAACTCACAATGGCCTATACTCCTCAACAAAATGGAGTGGTAGAGAGGAAGAATAGGACTGTTATTGAAATGGCCAAATCAATGTTGCATGAGAAGGGAATACCCTATTTCCTATGGGCTGAAGCAGTGCATACAGCTGTTTACTTGCTGAACAGGTGTCCTACCAAAGCCCTCAGCAACATCACTCCATTTGAAGCATATAGTGGAAGGAAACCTGGAATTGCACATCTTAAAATATTTGGTACTTTGTGTTATGTTCATGTGCTAGATGAATTGAGACACAAGCTGGAACCTAAGAGTACAAAGGGAGTGTTTGTAGGATATGCCACTTGTGAAAAAGGCTATAGAGTTTTTGATCCAGTTTCTAACAAGCTTATATTGTCAAGGGATGTGACATTTGATGAAGAAGGTGCTTGGCATTGGACAAACAACAATGATTCAGTTATGACATCATACACAATTGAAAATCAAGTAGATTTTGATTTTCATTCTGACAGTTCAAATGGCAACTCTACTGTTACATCTCAAACTCTGAATATGCAGAGGAGAACCTCATCAACTCCAAGTGATATAAGCAGTGAAGAAAGGATAACTCAAGCTTATGATCACACTCCTTTAAAATGGGGAAAGATAGATGATGTTCTTGCTCAGTGTAACTTGTGCATCATGGAACCAGAAAAATATGCTGATGCTGCTCAGGATGAATCTTGGCTTAAAGCTATGCAAGATGAATTGCAGATGATTGAAAAGAATGGAACATGGGAATTGGTGGATAGACCAATTGAAAAATCAGTGATTGGAGTTAAGTGGGTTTACAAGACTAAACTGAATTTGGATGGCTCTGTGCAAAAGAATAAAGCAAGGTTAGTTGCCAAAGGGTATGCTCAGAAGCCTGGACTGGATTATAATGAAACTTATGCACCTGTAGCCAGATTGGACACCATTAGAACACTCATTGCTCTTGCTGCTCAAAAGAATTGTAAACTGTACCAGCTTGATGTGAAATCTGCCTTCCTTAATGGTGTGCTACAAGAAGAAGTCTATATCAATCAACCTGAAGGTTTTGTAATTAAAGGCAAAGAGGACAAAGTTTATCGTCTACATAAAGCTCTCTATGGTCTGAAGCAAGCACCAAGGGCTTGGTATGGAGAGATAGACAGCTATTTCACTCAATGTGGTTGTAAGAAAAGCCTAAGTGAAGCAACTTTATACACCAAAGAAAGGGGAGATAAGGATATCCTAATTGTCTCTATTTATGTAGATGACATTGTCTACACAGGGAGCAATAAGGAATTACTAGGTGAGTTTAAGGAAGATATGATGACTAAATATGAGATGACAGATTTAGGTCTCTTGCATCACTTTCTTGGCATGGGGGTGATTCAAACCAATTCTAGTATATTCCTTCATCAAAACAAGTATGCTAGTACTCTATTGACCAAATTTGGATTGATTGAATGCAAATCTATGTCAACACCCCTTGTAGCAACTGAGAAACCAGCTAAGGATGATGGAAGTGGAGCTGCGAATGAAGAGCAATACATGAGCATTGTAGGTAGTCTTTTATACCTAACTTCTACAAGACCAGATATCATGTATGCTTCAAGTTTGCTTGCTAGATTCATGCATTGCCCCACAAATAGACACTATGGAACAACTATGTGATACATCAAAGGAACTCTAGACTATGGTTTAGAGTATGTGAAAGGCAAGGGAACAATCCTAATTGGCTACTGTGACAGTGATTGGGAAGGTTGATTTGGTGATAGCAAGAGCATATCAGGATATGCTTTTACTTTTGGAAGTGGAGTGTTTTCTTGGGCTTCAGTCAAACAGAATTATGTAGCATTGTCTACTGCAGAAGCTGAGTACATCAGTGCAGCTGAAGCTACTGCACAAGCCATTTGGTTACATTTTGTGCTAGGGGACTTTGGAGAGCTACAAACTGAAGCTACGTCATTGCATTGTGACAATATCTCAGCAATTGCAATCACTAAAAACCCTGTGTTTCACCAGAAGACTAAGCACATTGATAGAAGATACCATTTTATCAAGGATGCTTTCCAAGAAGGAGTTATTGATCTGGAATACTGTCCTACCAATGAACAACTAGCTAACATTTTCACCAAACCATTGACCAAAGATCGGTTCAATTATCTCAGAGGCATGCTTGGAGTGAAATCAGCTGAAGACTTAATGGGGAGTGTTGAATTATAAGTGCTCAAGTTGATTTCATAAATTAGATATGTTTAGTTTTCTTATAGTTTGTCTTATTGTTAAACCAAATGTCATAGTTTGATTGGTTAGTTTGTGAATGGTTGAGATTGCATTGTGATGTAATGCATCCAGTTGTCATTGTGCCTAACGGTTATATTCTCACACCAAGTGTGTGTGTGTGTGTGTGTACTGTACTGATTTCTTACATAACAAAAAATGAGAATGTTCTCTCTGCTACAAATATAACGGAGGAGATTTGGATTTTAGCTTTTCTTCTCTCCGTATTTTGTTCTTTACCAATACACATACAGATTCACAAAACACTAACACCCTACCTTCATGTGTGATTTTTTTTTTTTGGGCGAAGCCTTCATGTGTGATCATTGTATTGAATTTTTTGTATTGGTTATCATTTCAATGACAAGATTTTCAAAGTAGATAAGGACTTGATGAAATGACCGGTTCCTTTTAATGAACTTTTCAATTTTCCTATAACACCCTTACTATTTTTCCGAAATGACAGCCCTTAAGTTAAGCCTCCAAACTCTAATTAAAGCATCCCCAGCGCAAGAGGCTAGCCCAAGCTGGAAGGGGGTCTAGGCCCGGGGAGCAGGTCCAGCACACAACATCCAGCCCCGGCAAGGCTTGGGACCCACGATCCCAGGCAAGCCCAAGGGGAGATATGGCTTGTCACCTTGCCTTCCGGCTCTTGACGTCAGCGCTGACCCACAGTTGCCAAAAACCAACAACTACAAGCCACGTGGTTTCTCCTAAAGCCTTCAATCTAAAGATCTTGTCAAATCCAACGGCTATATATTTTGTGGCTAAAAAAGATTGAAAAAATTTGTCAAAAATATCAAAAAATTCTGGAATTTTTTTCTATAAATACCTACCAATATTATTCACTTTCCACACTAAATCTTAATACAAATTCATCTCCTTCCAATATTTTTCACTTCCCACACAAATTTTTTTACCACTAAATTTCATTTTTGTAAAAATACAAATGACATCTTCCATCGAAGCCGAAGGTCGGTGGACAATCGTGGAAGATATTTTGTTATGTGAGTGTTGGGTCAAAGTTGGTCATTTCCCGATCACGGGCAATGAGATGAAGTCCTCTCATAAGTGGAGAAAAAATCAAGGGGAATTTTGTGAAAGATCAGGTTCAGCTCGTACAGAAATGGCATTAGCGAGTAGATGGAAAATTTTGAATAAAGAGTTAGGAAATTGAGAGATTCGTTGGCAAAAGTGAGGGACAACATTCGAAGCAGTCAAAATCTTGCCGACAAGGTAAAATATTTATAAATGTTGTTTTATTCAATTTAATGTCACATTTTTTTTAATATTTTCTTGCATTTCCAATTTTTTAGAGCCCCCTCAAGATTCAAAATTATTTCTACTAGTCCGACGGTTGTGTTGAATGAGACGCCGCTCCACGATTCGCTGGCAACCGATTCGCCATTGGACTAGCCAATGGATCAAGACTCACTAATCCAACGTCAGCTGAGGCCTATTAGGAGAAATGCGGAAAAGGTTAAGAGAGAGGGAGCACTTCGAACACTGATTGTGCAAAAATTTTGGAGCAAATTGCTAAGAGCGGCGCACTGAGAATTGAGAGAGACTTGAAAAGAGAAGAAGCTGAGAAGGCATGATATGAAACATATGCAATTGAAAGGCAGCATGCACAAGAACAAGACATGGAGGACAGAGAGATGAAAATCATGGCCATGGATACAAGCTATATGTCTCTTGAAACAAAGTCCTATTGGAAGCTAAAATGAAGGGATGTTATGAGAAGAAAGCTTTTCCATGACGATGAACCTAGCAACACAGATTGGTTAAATGATCAAAACCATTAGGTTGTATTGAAAGAGTTGTCATATGTATTAATTTGTTGTATTGTTTCTGTTTTATTGAATAAAGAAAGCATCAAATAATATAGTTATTTATTAAAAACATTTCATAAATCAAAACAAACCTTAATTCATTACAAAAAAAAAAAAAAAAAAAAACATAATTCCAAACAAAGCATTAAACTTGATTTCATCCACCGTGATTGCCTTTCATCTCCCATAAGTGCTCGATCAAGTCAACTTGACATTTCTCGTGAACATAAGAAGATTGCATTTCCAGATAACGGTCGATCATAGGGTTGTTGTATCGATCGTCCCTAATCAACGGTACATTCTCTAGTGGTTGTCCATTTACTCCCACGAGTCGTTCATAAATTATTGTCAATGCCCTGTTCATGGGATTGGGTTCGAGCATCTCTGGGGCATCATAATCATACTCATCCTCCATAATAATGTTATGGAGGATTATGCAAGTCATCATAATACTTCGAAGCACCTCTTCATCAAACATACGAGCAACTCCCCTAATCATTTCCTAACTAGCTTGCAAGATACCAAAACACCTTTCTAGGGCAGCAAAGCTTTTTTCCTTCTCCAATTTGGGATTCGAAATTGTTTTGATGAATGTTGTCCACCTCGGATAAATTCCGTCAGCTAGGTAGTACACACCTGAGTGTACAGTATTGTTGATTTGATACGTCATCTGGGGGGAATGACCTCTCAAGACATTGTTGAATACCGGGGATTGACCAAGCACATTGAGGTCATTTTGAGATCCATAAGCTCCGAAAAAGGCATGCCAAACCTAGATATCGAATGATGCAACAGCCTCTAGAATTATATTTTTTTGGCCCTTCTTATTCCCATAATTTCCTTGCCAAGGAGTTGGGAAATTCTTCCTCAGCCAGTACATGCAGTCAATGCCTCCAATCATGTTTGGGAAACCTTGAGCCTCAGATTTTCGTAGGAGTCTTCGGAGGTCCCTAGGCGTAGGTTTGAGAAGGTAATCCCTCGTGTAGAGAGTTTCTATTGTATCACAGAATCTGACCAAGCACTCTAAGATAGTTGATTTCCCTATCTTAGCAATCTCATCCACCTGATCTGCAGATGCCTCATATGCAAGCATCCGTAAAGCAGCTGTAAGTTTTTGCTCCGAAAGAAAACCCAAAACCCCAAGAGCATCGTACTTCTGAACGAAGTATGTGTCGTAATTGCAAACATCATGCATGATTTCTTGGAACAAATGGGGCTGCATTCTATATCTCTCTCTAAAATAAGAAACAGGATATAACGAATTTGGGATAAAGTAATCTTCTAAAATATTCTTACCCCTAGAGTGCCTATGTCTGTCCACATTCAGGGAACAGCCACAGTGGTGTTGCCTTGATTGATTTAGCATACCCACCACTAAAACAACTTCTTCCTCCTCTTCATCCAACTCGCGATCTTCTTCAGCACGTTTGCGCCTGATTTCTTCATCTTCTCGATGTTGCCTCTCCAACACCTTTCTCAGGTTAGACATTGAGAGTAGAATGTATTTTGTAAAATCTGATAAATGAAAGGATAGAGAATAGTGACAAACCTTGTCTCTGCCTTGCCCTTACCCTTTGGGGTGGAAGTGTTCTTAGAGTCCTCGCCCTTTTTGGGTTTCTTTCAACAAAACAAATCGTCTTCTCACTTTTCTTCTTCTTCTCCCACTGCATCTCCAAATTTCAGTCTCAATTAGAGAAGTTGATTGCTAAGAACGGCAACCCACTCATCACAAGCCTGGCAGAGAAGGCAGTGGAGTTCATGAGATCAAGCCATAAGCTAAAAGCGAAAGCTCCTTCCTTTACTTTTCCGCTCTGAAATCCTTTTGCAATGAGTAGTCTTCCATGCTTTCTTTTGTTCTTTTTCTTCTCAGCCTTTGCTCAACAATCTGAACTGGGTTTCTTCATAGCGGTTCTTTTTTTTTTTCTCCCTTTTTTTTGGCGAAGGAAACAAGGTATTGTCACAGCTTTGTGGCATTTGACTGCTTTGTCCACTTTTGGTTTCATGAAAATATAAGACAAGAGTATCAATTAATTAATCTGACTTTGATATTAAGGAATATAAAGAATACCTACCCCAACCGAAATTACACTTACTCTTATATTTCCTTTCCTTACACAAACAAATGAAAATATGACTAATGTCAAATATTTTATAAAAAAACAAATTCCATAAAACCAAACATGCACCAAACCCTATGGCTTCGTTTGGTAGGCTGATTGATTGGGATTGAGTTTGGAGTGTTGGACTAGAGTTAAGTCTAGTCCATTGTTTAGTACGAGGCCACAGTGGACAACATTGGACTCAATTTTTTTTAAAAAAAATTCTAAATTAATTTATTGCTTATTAGATCATTTAACATCATAAAAAATTAATTAAAAACATATCAAATTACAAAACCAGTATTTAAAAGATATGATTTAAAAATTTATTCATATTTTTGGTTTTAATATAAAAATACCATTTTGCCCCTGCATTTAACAGAAAAAGTTAACAAATTTGACTGCAGGACCATTTGTTCTAACGAAAATGTAATTAAAGGACCATGAGAACCATTTTGAAAATTAAGGTACTCAAATGCAAATTAAATCTAAGTTCAGAGACTAACAAAATGATTAGCCTAAACAATTATATAACCAATACATCCAACAGGATTGAGACTTCAATAAAATAAAAAAGTAAAAAAGAGATTGGGTCATGAACACTTAGGGAAAAAAACTATAATACGAACTGCAATTTGGCTACTTTGTCAACTTTTGGTTTCCTAATGTTGTGCTGTGTTTTGTGGGCTTTGGCTTTGTCTGGGCTTTTTGCTGTTATGTGGGCTCTTGGCCTCTATGTGGGTTTTATATCTTTATGTGTGCTCTAAGCACTTTGTTTGTTTTATTTGTAGTGGGTTCTATATCTATTTGTATTGCATTTTGTGTGAACTCAATTATTTGAGTTCATTTTGATGTAATCTGACTTAAATCTTCTATTCAATGAAACTCGATTTTGAACACAAAAATATATATATACAAAATAGGAGGGCTTCATTCTAAGAAGCACGGACACGGATACGGATACCGGAATATGATACAACACGACACGGGGATACGACAAATTTTCAAAAATTAGGATACGATATGTCGTGGATACGGTAATTTAAAAAATATATAAAAATTTAAAAATAACAATATATATAATTTAAAACATATTTTAAATAACATAAAAATGATAATATTATTACTTTTAACGTACTTACACTTGTCTTGGTTATAATATTATTACTTTTAATAACCAAAACAAAATCCTTTTGTCAAAACGATAAGACCAGCCATCATGTGGGGTGTGGGTGAAACTGTGAGTATTAAACAAACAAAATCCTTTGACCCAAAAAAAAAAAAACAAAATCCTTTTGTCAAAAGGATAAGACCAGCCATCAGAACAGAGAAGCACGCGTGACAAAACGAAATGAAAATGGAGGAGAGAACCCGACGCCGCCAACAATGAAGAATGAAGAAGAAGAAATTGATGAGTAGGGGCGCCGCTGGATGAAGAAGAAAAAGGAAGATCTGGGCTTCTTAAGGATGAAGAAGAAGAATTGATGAGTGGGGGCACCGCTGGATGAAGAAGAAGAAGGAAGATCTGGGCTTCTTATTTATATAGAAGAAGAAGGAAGATCTGAAAGAAGAAGAAGTGGAGACGTTTTCTGATAGGCGTATCCTAAACATCGGATACTCGTATCTGTAATGTCAGATACGCGTATTTTTTTGTCGTTGACCGTATCCGTTTACTCAGATACATATCCATCGCGTATCCGCACGTATTTACAGCGTATCGGATGTGGGATACGCACTTCAACCAGCGTATCCGTGCTTCTTAAGCTTCATTCATCCTGAGTCCATGGCTTTTTTGCTGCGTCGAATTTCAAAATCTTTAATTCCCATACCCATCAATCAGGAAACCCGACTGATCAATACGGACTCAGCACCAAAAGATGTTGCCAAAGCCATCCGTGACTCATTCAGAATCAGTTGGAATTGGGACACTCTGACGACCAAATTTGAATCTGTTAAATTAGATGGAGGGCTCGTCGAGAGTGTTTTGTTAGAATTGAAGGAACCCATTGATGCAAAACGTGCTCTGGGTTTCTTCCACTGGGCAGCTCACAGGAAAAGCTTTGAGCATGGAGTTTGGTCCTACTCCATAACCATTCATATTTTAGCCAGAGCCAGGTTGCTCATGGATGCTAGAGCTTTGCTTGAATCAGTTCTGAAGAAAACTGCTGAAAATGGTTCTAAATTTTCAGTTGTGGATTCATTGCTTAGTAGTTATGAGGTTACTGCTTCAAACCCATTTGTGTTTGATTTGCTGTTACAGGCTTATGCTAAGCTGAGAATGTTTGAGACTGGTTTTGATGTTTGTTGCTATTTGGGGGAACATGGGTTGCCTTTAAGTCTTATAACTTACAACACTCTGCTTCACGTGGTTCAAAAATCTGACCAGACTGCTCTGGTTTGGAAGATTTATGAGCATATGGTTGGAAAAAGAAATTACCCAAATGAAGTGACAATCAAAATCTTGATTGATGCTTTGTGCAAGGAAGGGAAGTTGAAGAAATACGTTGACATGTTGGACAGGATCCATGGGAAGAGGTGCTCTCCTTCTGTGATTGTGAATACTAGTCTGGTTTTTAGTATTTTGGAGGATGGTAGGGTTGAAGAAGGTTTGATGTTGTTGAGGAGAATGTTGCAGAAGAATATGGTTCTTGATACAATTGCTTACTCATTGATTGTTTATGCTAAAGTTAAACAAGGAGATGTATGCTCAGCATGGGAGGTGTATGAAGAAATGCTCAAGAGAGGTTTTCGAGCAAACTCTTTTGTCTATACCTTGTTTATGGGAGCACATTGTGAGGGAGGAAGAATTGAGGAAGCACAAAGCATGATGAATGAGATGGAAAATATGGATTTGAAACCGTTTGATGAGAGCTATAATCTTCTTATTGAGGGATGCGCTAAAGCAGGAAGAGTGGAAGCAAGCTTGAGTTACTTGAAGAAGATGGTGGAGAATGGGTTCATCCCATGTCGTTCGGCCTTCAATGAGATGGTTGGAAAGTTATGTGAAACAGGGGATGCAGAGCAAGCAAATACAATGTTTACTATACTGTTAGATAAAGGGTTCTTGCCAGACAGCATCACATACGCTCATCTGATTGACGGATATGGGAGAAAAGGTGAGATTCAGGAGGTTGTGAAACTCTATTATGAGATGGAGTCCAGGTCGCTTTCTCCAGGAGCATTGGTTTTTACATCCGTGATAAAGAGCTTCTGCCAATGTGGGAAAGTGGAGGAAGCAGAAAGGTATTTGGGAATCATGAAAGATCGTTCAATAGCCCCAAGTTTATGCGTATACGAGACATTGATTGCCAACCACTTTGACAAGGGCAATGCAGAAAGGGCCCTTCACCTTAAGAATGAAATGGAACTTATTGCATCGATTTAAATCAATGAACTCTCATTTGAATTGTCTTGTAATTCTCTTTTAAGTGGGTTGGAACGATCATGGAAAGATGAACAGCAATGAGAAGCACTTTGGAACCAATTGTCTTGTAACTCATCTGTCACCACAGCATGCCCCACAAATATCAAGGCTCCATTTGGATGGAGGTATTTGAAATAAAGTACTTGAATTTGACAATAGGGTAAATTTGAATATATTTGAAACAATTATCTAAAAAAGAATATATTTGAAACAATATGCACGGAATCTTTTGAAATTCATTTGTTTTATTCTTCTGATACATGGGACTGCAATAGTGTAAATAAACAAAGTAAACATATTGTCAACTGGATTCCAGCATTTGGAATCACTTCATCTGAATCCCTAAGATGTAATGGGAAATGAGTGTTACAAAGAACTATGAGAAAAGTTTTGTACTTGTACATCCCTACTATAGCTAAACCAACTACTTCTGGAGTCTTGAAGCTCATTTCCTATGGTGAATCCATATTTGCCCCTGCGACACAAGTATGGAAATGAATAAAAGATTTTCAGTTTCATTTCCACAAATAAATAAAACAAAATGAAACTTATCATAAATCTATTTTTTTTATTTTGGCCAGAAGCTTATCATAAATCTATTTAAATTTGAAAACTGAAGACAATAAAAAAAAAATTTCAAGAAAAACCTTATGAGACAAGGGTGCAAGTGATGAAAACAACCACGCTGGCGGAGGAGGACAATCCACCATTTCCTCAACAAATTACATGCAATCAGTTAGCAAAATCATTGATGAAAATAAAGAATAAAGGATGATCAACCTACAATAGAAAAAATTCATTCCCCAAAAATTTGGCCATGACTTGTACAAAGAGCCAGGAATAAATGACATGTGGTACTTATTAAAAGCCAAAGGTAAAAAGGAAAAAGCAATGACAACGTCTCAGGAATTCACAACATGATTCTTTTGACTCCTTGCTTTCCTTACAAAGCCAATCTAACTGAAACACCCAAAATGAGTGAGAGATATGAGTAGTACGAGGCTAGCCAATATACAACATCAAGGACTTGTATCTATGAGACCAGCTACCACGTCTAACAAGAAGGGTATGTTTGGATGTGCTTTTAATATATTGAAAGAAACTTTTAGATACCTAAAACGGTTAATCTTTGGCAAAAATAATAAGAATTCTTTCTGGAGAAACTTTTAGTGCTTCCTGATCAAGAAACAATAATAGGTTCCTTATCCGAAAGCATTGTCAGGTGAATCTGCAAAACCACTTGAGCTTTTGAGGAAACTTTCTATGTGCCTCTAACAAAAAGTGCTACTGAGCAAAAGTTCTTAAACATAAGCACTTCAAAACATTCCCAAAAATTTGCTGTTTCCTATTGAGTACCTAGCTCTAGAAGGACAAAAGGAAAGTCAAATTATGAAGAAAAAAAAAATTTAGCAGATAAATATTTGGCACGAAAACATTATTATGTTCGGATATACTACAGTAGAAGGGTGACAAAAAAACGCATAGGGTGAAAAAAACTGAAAAAATTACTATGAATATTTATACTATCTTTGAATAATTTCCAGGCTGAAAAAAACTGACATGACAAAACTAAAACCAAAAAATTCATCTAACAAAACAATGTATGCTCATATGTGCGGTGATCGAAGCAACTTCTTCCAACTCCTTTTAGTCAAAGTACAAGCTAAGCATTTGTATTCAACACAGGGACCATCAAACAATGGTAGAACTATTAAAACCTTATTCAGTCGTGCACCAAAAATACAGCAACAATTTAAAACATTCAAGAAAGTCTAGAAAGAGATTGAGTGGATTTACCTTCTTTACCTCTCCTATCTACAGCTGTCTCATGCTTAATGTTCTCAGTCAATAACGTAAGGGTAACGGGTGAAGCAAGGCTCTCCCTGTACATCCCAGCTCTACCAACTTTGGGAAATCCATAAATTGAAAGATTCTGACTGCTTTGTAAAAATTGTGCATAATCAACAGGTCATTGCACAACAACGGAAGTTAGAAATGCATGATTACGATTCGGAAACTCATCCACATTCAAAGAGTAGAGTGAATTATGTTCCAATTTAGAGAATTGCATGGTTTAGATCCACACCTGAAGCGGCATAACAACCTGACTGGCAGCCCATCACCTATTATCTCCATCGGGAAGTTAGGGTTTCCATCAGCTGCTCCCTCATTTTTTCCAGCCACATTTCCTTGGGAACAACTAGAAAGTGTGGCCTGCGTGTCTTAACAAAATGTAAGTTGTGTGTTAATGCTGAGTCAGACTCCGGGCAGAACTCGTCAGGACTTGACTTGCAGTTGTTTTTGGAGCTGGGCCAGTCAAACTTGGGCCTTCGGGTATGACACTTGATAATCCAATTGCCCTTGCAAATAAAAACAATTTCCGTTATTGTGGACTCCAAAACGATATGCCTAGAATATAAAAAAATTATGGCACATTTACGTTTTTTGAAATGGGAAAAGTAATGAATCAGGGAAATCATGAATAGGCGAGAAGGAATGGGCATGAGATCAACTATTTCCCCTAATCGGAAGGCATTAGCAAATACAAGGGAAATCAGGAATCAGAATAATTTCAATACTCATTAACAAGTAAACATACCATGAAAATCAAACTTCTAGAAAGAGTAAAGCATCCCAAAAGAAGGGGAAAGAAATAAAAGAAATTCTCGACTTAGATAGTAATTTTCATACGAGTACTATTTTAGTCCCTTTACTTATTCACCACCAAATGATGTGAAAGTATTTCGTTTATTCAAATACGAGGCCACTTTAAATGTAATTATTTTGAATAAGTAGGTGTAGCCGAGAGACTGTTACACCATTCCAAGAATACTTTCATAGCGTGTGTAAGACAGACTCTGTATAATTAGCCCTATTCAAGGCTAGCAAAAATTTCAGTTCTTACGGAATTCAGTTCGATACCAATGCTTTATTTAAGCACCAGCAAGTTTACAAAATTGCAAAGGGGAGGCCTAATGCCTTATTTGAACTCATGAGTTGGGGGTGGGCTAATTCTCTCAACCAGTTATGCTAACTTAAAATTTAAACAAGCATCGTAATCAAGGATACTGCAGCAATTAACAACCTATAAACTTTCATTTGAATTGTCTAGCAATTTCTTTAAGGATGTTAAAGCAGACGAAGAAAACATCAGCATAACCTAGGAGTGCTTTGGAACCAATTGATATGCCATCATTCCAAAATGAAACTGATCTATCAACGAAGATTTCACAAAGAACACCTAACACATTGTTCAAAACATAAAGATGCAACGGAAGAGACAGACAGAACCGCTGGAAAATCTTTGTACTGGTACATCCTACAATAGCCAGCCAAACCAACCAATTTTTGGGTCTTCAAGATAATTTCTTCTAGAACCAGAAAAGGAACCTAATGTCTTCTGGAGAAAACAGATCTGCCCCTGTGACACAAGGATGGCATTACATAAAGATTTCAAGCAAACATTTCTATAAAATGAAAAAAATTCATAAAATACCAGTATTCATTTCTTTACAAAGTTCATAACTGAATCATAAATGCATTTAATTTGTAAACCGAAGACAAACAATAAAAGCATGGAAAACTTATGAGAAGGGGCCACATGTGACAGAAACAACGGGGAAAAGGGGGCAACAAGCCACAATTTCTTTGAAAAATAACATTAAATCAGTTAGCAAAATCATTAATGAAAACCAAGCATAGAGAAAATTATCACTGTAACAATGTTGGAAAGTCAACCCCAGTAAATATGACTCATAGAAGAACCAGGAATAATCAATCACATTAGCCACTTATTAAAACCCAACAGAATAAAAGGAAATGGAAACATATTAGGAACTCAGAACCAAGCTCTCTTGACTCCTTGATTTTCTTACAAAACCAATCTAACAAACAGAAGCATCCAAAAGCAGTGAGATACTAGTTCTATAGACTCATTAATCATATAACTTCATCGACTTGTATCTATACACCCAACTACCATGTCTAACAAGGAGGATGTATTTGGAAGTGCTTTAAATGTGTCAAACATAATTTAGATAACCAATATGCCTTTATTAACAATTGGAAGAAATAGACAGAATGCTATTTCAGTTAAAGAAACAATTTCTGTGCTACATGAAGAAGCATTCAAGCACCTAACAGGTGCTTTCTTCAAAAGCGTTAATGAGGACGAAACAATGCCTACGAAATCCTACCTGTCCTATGGTCTTGTTAAATCCAATTAAAACGAACATGCACGCTGCTCTGAATCATTCCATGGGTGAAAGAGACACATAGGATAAAACTATACTGCGAATGCAGCACACAAATTCTTGTTATTAAAAACAAAACAAAAAGAGGGAAAAAAAAAATACAGACTCTGATATTAAGAAAGCTTAAGCTCGGCATATCAAAACAAGCACCATCAACCAAAAACTATTATAAATAAATAAACTTGTGTCCAACAAGCGTGTGCTTTCAGTTGAGCCAAAAGTGCTTTAAATATATATAATAAAAAAGAAGCTTTTGTTAATACTTGGAAAAAATTAGACAACAATGCATTTTCGGTTGGAAAAACAATTTCAGTGCTTCATGAAGAAGCACATAATAGGATTCTTCGAAAGCATTTTCAGGTCAATATGCAAAACATAATTGAGTTTCAAATGAAATCGTTTGTCTTTTAGTGAACACGGTACTAGATGTTCCATATAGAAGTACTTCAAAACAGGCCCGAGCATTTTCTGTCTCCTGATGAGCAAAGCACTACTCTACAACGGCAAAAGGAAAGTAAAAGTACGAGAATGTTAAGAAGAGAAATATTTGACATGAAAGATTATAACATTCATGAATCATGACATAAACATAGGAACAATGCCGAAAAACGCATAATTCTGCCCGTCGTATGGTTTTGTTAACTACCAAATAAAGCGAACGTGCATAGTGTTCTGAATCATTCCATGGGAGAAAGAGTAAGATAGGACAAAACTAAAATACAAATGCACCACCAAAACCCTAGTTAATAAAGAAAAAACAAGTATAATTTTTTTTTCTTCATAATATCAGTTTGGTTTCCGAGTATGGCTGCCATTCCATTGATAGAAAAAGAAAAAAGAAAAACATATAGGCTCCGATATTAAGAAAACCGAAGCTTGGCATATTTGAAACAATCACCATCAGCCAATAAAACTATAAAAACCTCATGTCTGACAAAAAGGGTGTATTTTCCAGTGCTGTTATTGTGTCAAAACTGCTTTGGGATAACCAAACGCGGTTTAAAAAAAAAAAAAATTGCCAGAAACAGACAGCAATGCCTTTTCAGTTAGAAAAACAATTTCAGTGTTTCGTGAAGAAGCATGTAAAGGTGCAGTCTTCAGAAGCACGCATAGGTAGTCTTTACAAGCATTGTCAGGTGAATAGTTTCCAAGGAAATATTTTATGTGCTTTTAGCAAAAACGGTACTAAAAGCTCGATATAGAAATACTTCAAAACAAGCCAGAGGTTTTAGCAGAGAACTACTGTACGAAGGCAAAAGGAAAGTATAAGTACGAAAACATTTAGCAGAGAAATATTTGACACGAAACACTGTCACATTCATGACATACAATACAACTCTAGGAATGATGTTGAAAAACACATGAAATCCTGCCTGTCCTATGCTTTTGTTAAACACCAAATAAAATGAACATGTATACTGTTTCGGATCATCACATGGGTGAAAGAGACGGATAGGATAAAACTATAATGCAAATGCAGCACAGAAATCCTTGTTAAAAAAAAAAATTTAGTATAATTGTTTTCTGAGCATGCCTGCCATTCCTTCCACAGGAGAAAAAAAAAACATACAAACTCTGATATTAAGAAAGCCTAAGTGTGGCATGTCAAAAACAAGCACCATGAACCAATTAAACTATCAAAAACTCGTCTCCAACAAGAGGTACTTTAAAGTGGTCTTAATTGTGTCAAAACTGCTTTTAGATAAACAGAGATGTTTTTTTTTTCTTTTAGTAATTGGAAGAAATCGACAACATTGCTTTTTTGGGTTAGAGAAACAATTTCAGTGCTTCATGAAGGAACACCTAACATGTGCATTCTTTAAAAGAATTGTCAGGTCAACGCCAAACATATGTGAATTTGTAATGAAATCATTACGTGCTATTTGCAAACAAATAACTAGATGCTCCATAGAGAAGTACTTCAAAACAGGGCCAAGCTTTTGCTATCGTCTAACGAGTATCTAGCAAAGAACTACTGTACACAGGAAAATGCAGAGTAAAAGTACGAAAACATTGAGCAGAGAGATATTTGACACAAAAACTGTTACATTCAGGACATACAACAACACTAGGACTGATGATGAAAATCACATACAAAATCCTGGATGTCCTATGGTTTTGTTAACTACCAAATAGATTGAACATGTATACTATTCTGAATCATTCCATGGGTAGAAGAGAGATAGGATAACACCATAATGCAAATGCAGCACCAAAAATCATTGTTAACAAAGAAAAAAAAAAGGTATAAAATGTATTTTGTTTCTTAATATCAGTTTGTTTCTGAGCATGACTCCCATTCCAATCATTGAAAAATAGAGAATAAATACATGAACACTCTACTATTAAGAAAGCCTAAGCTCGGCATATTAAAAATAAACACCATCAACCAATAAAACCATAAAAATATTGTTCAATAGTGCATAAAGTCTAGAAAGAGATTGAGTGGATTCATCTACTTTACCTCTTCTATCTGCATTTGTCTTATGCTTAAAGTTCTCGATCAGTAATGCCATAGTAATTCGGTGAAACAAGACTCTCCAAGTAGGTTCCAATGCAATCAACATGGGGAAATCCAGGGATTGATACATTGCAAAAGCTTTGTTCCTTAAAATTGTACATAACCAATTGCTTCTGGAACACCAACAGATCATGATTTTCCTTCCAAAAACCTGAAAGTGATAATTCGGAATAAGGGATGGAGATCTTTATCTTAGTCCACGACTGCCCCTCTCCATATTCATTCATGACCCAAAACTCATTATAAGTTCTTTCATCACTACAATGTGTTAAACATAGGCAGTCCCTGAAGACCCCCAACACACAATCTCCCGCATCACTGGAATACTCAACCGGCAAAGGAATTTCTCCAGCTTGCTCCTCTTCTAAAAGGAAAGCTACAATCATGGATGTCTGGTCTGGTGTTTCCATTATCCAATGAAGAGTTCCATTGAGCAGGACCGCATGAAAGGTATATGCCCCAGAATAGGGAAGTGAACACTCGAGCTCTTCCCATGAACCGATTTTCAACGAATAGACACAAAACACAAGCATATCGTAAAACACAGCAGAAACCACCTTGTAATCATCAGTGGAGTGATCAAATCCAAAACCCAGGTGTTGTATATTATCTGGGGCCTCTGGCAGTTCCTCGGATTCCCCGGTAGTTGGGTTAACCAGATATATCGTCATTGGCATTTCAGCTAGCTTGCACAACAACAAACCATCACAGTAAAACAGGTCTACAACCCTGTAAGATGGTAGGTCACCGCAAACCAATTGGGCCTCAGGGGCAATCAAATCATCAGCACCGTGATCATTATTCTGATTCAGAATTAACTGGTCGAGGTTAACAGAGTAAAGGGAACAACAACCTGGCTCATTGAAGATGAGTCTTCGTCTTTGGTAGAACACATCATCGTTCTCAGAAGTTTTGTTAAAGTGCATTTTGATAAAATTAGGGTCAGCGATGAGAGCATTCCATGGCTTAGATACACACCTGAAGCGGCCCAACGACTTGACTGGCAGCCATGATAGAATCTCCACTATCAGCTCCCATGGGAGGCTAGGGTTCCCTTTGTCCATCAGCTTCTCCGCCATTTTCTTGCGCAGCTTCGTTCTCTCCGGAGCAGACCAAGCGTTCCCCATGGCCAAAAGCAGTGTTCCCTTCTTTTTCGCTGGAGAAAACCAAGCGTTCCCCCAAAACCATCCTCTATGATATAAATCTTCTTCCCCAAAAGTAAAGTCGTCTAATTTGACGCTGGGTGGACCAAATTTTGAACGGCCTCTTCAATTGCGTTGGACTCGGTTGTAGACTCGTGACGTTCAAATTGGGCTTCCAGTTGGGCCAAAATTTGGGCCTACGATTATTTCTGTTGAAAGATGCGGAAACGGATTCACTGTCCCGGTCAATTAACCTAATTCACATCTGCAATGTGTCTTTTTTTTTAACTGATTAAAAAATTCTAGTAGGTTCTTCAGTTAGATGTGAAAGCATGTATTCTCTATACTCCCTTCATAAAAGAAGATGGTGAGTTTCGTTTTGTTTCTACTTTAGTCGTGTTACATGTAGTATATAAATGTGTTTCCTAACATTACTGTCTCTATTTGATGAAACACACGGGATTGACTGAAAAAAAAAAAACAAAATTTTATCAAAAGGAAACAAAATTAATTTCCTTTATAGATCGTTATTTCCCCCAATTACTAACGAAAATGTTGTGCCAAGTGCCGGTCCCAAAAAGAAAAAAAGTTATATGAAAAGTTGACTATAAAAACAAAATACAATGACAGTTTCTGAAAGAACTTAACTCAAGAAAAGAAAAAAAAAAATATATATATATATATATATATATGAGATTGTTTTTGTGATGATCCCACACAGAAGCCCACGGTGCAGCAAAATTGGTGTTTGGAACAACCATGTCTTGTGTCTATAAATGAATAAAAAGGCACTTGTCAAGGTATAATACCATTCAGGATCATCTACAAAGTACTATAAACCTCATGCCAATAAGACTTCTTCTAAGACATTAGCAAGATGACCATAGGTTTTGAGGACAAACAAACACAAATCGGCTTTTGTTTTCTGTTAAGGATCATAGCGCTATTGTTTATGACTTCGTGCCTAAGCTGTGACGAAATGCATGGTTTCTTTTTACTGCAGCAAGAGGAACATTTGGTTATTTTGCTCCTGAGATGTTGTATAAAAATGTTGGCGGTGTCTCTTATAACGTACATGTCTGTAGTTTTGGAATGCCTTTTTTTTTTTTCCTTAAGGAAATGGCAGGGAGAAGAAAGAGTTTGAATGCATTTTCAGAGCATTCAAGTCAAATTTGCATTCCCGTGTAGTTGTATGTGATCGTATCTGCGTTATTGTGCATGCATATGAAGCCTAGTGATCATCCTTCTATGGAAAAAGTCATGGATATGCTCGAAGGAGAAATTGAAGCCCTAAAAATGCCTAGCAAGTCACATGCCAAAATGTTATGTATAATAACGAGTACTGTTTCTCGTCTTTGTGCTATGCAGATTTGGCTGTTGCTTCCAACCAAACGCAGATTACGGTGCAAGGTCTGCCATGGTTCCAAGAATTCAGCCTTCTCCCGGATTTGGTATATGAGCTGGACCAAAGTTGCAAATTTAATTGCTTGAAATGATTCAAAGTTCTGTCCTAATTCTTGTTTACTTGTATTACTCTGCAGCAGCAACTGAGGGGCTAGTTTGATCTAATATGGTTTTCCCTAATTTTGGAATTGTAGCGTGTAGATTGGTATTATTGGGTTAGTGATACAGTTGGTCCATTATTTTTCCATTAGTTTTCCATTAATGGTGTGTTGCTTAGATCCTCGTTTTCAAGTTTACATTGGAGTTTTTTTGCCCCAGTTTCTTTCAAGTTTACATTGAACTTGGAAGTGACTAGAAATTTATACTCATCTATACTAAAAGCTTAAAAGGTGATTTGATGAATGAAGTTAAAATGATGACAGAGGATGTTTAAGCCATTTGTGCAGTAAAAGAAGTTATTGAACTCCATCTGTATGAAATTATTGTTAGTAATTATGAGACAAAACCACAGAGATTTGATCCAAAAAGTAGATAAAATCAGTTTGTATTTCTAGCTACAAATACAAGAAGAAAAGACAGAAAAAAATAAAAAACACAATCAAACCAAATCATATGTTATGCTATCAACCAGCTCAAAATTAATCTACGAGTTTTCTCTCTAAAGCAAAACTGGAATTCAAACACGAAGAAGACGGGAAACAAAACGATCCTAACTGTATAAGTCATCTTCGTCAGCCCCAGCAGAAGCAGTTGCAGAAGGGTCATATCCAGAAGCTCTGTCTGCAAACCTGAATTCTGTTCCCAACCCTCTTGACTGCTGCAATGTCTGAGAAAATGCCTGGTATTTACGGATATCAGCATTACTAACACTCCTACGAGCATACTTCATCGATTCCTCGAAATGAGCTGCCTTGATCTCTGCTACTTCATTATCAACATCCTCCTCCATAGCCTCAGGGTTCTCATTTTTCATCCTATCCCTCACAATATCCTTCTCAATGTTTTCTCTAATGGCATATTTGCACGCACGCTGGCATATTTCTGTTATATCAGCACCACTAAATCCTTGGGTGTACTTGCCAAGGGCTCTGATGTCCACATCTTTGGAAACAGGAGATTTCCTCAAGCAAGCCCTGAATATTTGATAGCGAGATTCTTCATCAGGGAGAGGGATGTAAATCAACTGATCCAGACGGCCTGGACGTAGAAGTGCAGGGTCTATAATGTCAGGTCTGTTGGTGGCCCCGATAACGAAAACAGTTTTCTTTGCAGACATTCCATCCATTTCTGTAAGGAGTTGGTTCAGTACCCTATCAGCAGCACCCCCTGCATCGCCTGTGCTGCTACCTCTCTGTGTGGCAATGGAATCAAGTTCATCAAAGAACAGGACACATGGAGCAGATCCACGGGCCTTGTCGAAAATTTCGCGTACATTGGCCTCACTCTCTCCAAACCACATTGTAAGCAATTCAGGTCCCTTGACACTGATGAAGTTTGCTTGACACTCATTGGCAATAGCTTTGGCGAGAAGAGTTTTACCACATCCAGGAGGGCCATAGAAAAGAACTCCCTTTGAGGGTGACATGCCAAATTTCTCAAATTTCTCAGGATGCTCCACTGGATATTGAACCGTCTCTTGAAGTTCCCTCTTTACATTCTCGAGACCTCCAATGTCTTTCCAACTAACATTCGGCACCTCAACAACTGTTTCACGAAGAGCGGATGGGTTGCTCGTGCCAAGAGCCGTCTGCAAGTGCTCGTTTGTAACTGCCATTGAATTAAGTATCTCGGCATCTATTTCCTCATCTTCTAAGTCAATCACGTCCATCTTCTCTCTGATGCATTGAAGTGCAGCCTCAGTACACAAAGCAGCTAGATCAGCACCAACATAACCATGTGTGTCCTTAGCTATCTTGTCTAAATTAACTTCTTCAGCAAGCTTCATGTTCTTGGTATGAATACGCAGAACCTCAAGACGCCCAACTTCATCTGGCACACCAATATCTATTTCCTTATCAAATCTTCCAAACCTTCTGAGAGCTGGATCAATGCTATTTGGACGATTTGTAGCCCCGATAACAATTACATGCGCACGGGATTTTAGTCCATCCATGAGTGTCAAGAGCTGGGAAACAATCCTCCTCTCAACTTCTCCATTTGTCTTGTCTCTCTTGGGAGCAATTGAATCGATCTCATCAATAAAGATGATTGATGGTGCATTCTTCTCTGCTTCCTGAAAAGCTTTCCTGAGGTTGCTTTCGCTCTCCCCAGCCAGTTTCGACATGATTTCTGGTCCATTGATGCAGAAAAAGAATGCCCCAGTCTCATTAGCCACAGCACGGGCAATTAGAGTCTTACCAGTTCCAGGAGGTCCATACAACAGAATACCCTTTGGTGGTTTCACACCAATTATCTTAAACAGCTGAGGATGCCTCAGCGGCAGCTCCACCGACTCGCGAATCTGAGCCATCTGTTTCCTTACTCCACCAACATCATCATATCCAACCTCATCTAATGACCTCTCCTCATCCTCCCTTCTCACAGGCTCCCCGTCACAGAAGATTTCGGTCTCGGGCGCCACCACGCAGTATTCAGGGGGGTCAGTTTCGACAACCTTGAACTCCACACTCCTCATCCCTCCTCTCACAAGGAAGAGATCACCCTTCCTCATGGGTCGGTAGGCCTCGAAAAAATAAGGTCTCAAATATGTATCAAACAGATTTCCAGTGACCCCTTGGATACTGTCATCCACAGGAAGTACGTGAACACGGTTTCCATACTTGACATCAGCGCATTGGTAAACAGAAACGACATCTCCAAGCCTAACCCTTAGGTTGCTCCTGACAACCTTGTTCATCCTTATCTTTGGTTCCTCACATTTGTCATCAGCAACTACAATGCAGACCGTGTCCTTCCTTTTCTTTCCCTTAATCAAGATTGTGTCCCCACGAAATAGCTGGAGCCTCTCCATAGACTCTGGGTGGAGCGTGACGACAGAGTTGTCGTCATGGATAGCTTCATCCACAACAAGGCGATTCACAGCCTTCTTGCGGTCAAGGATTGCCGTAGTGAAGTCCTTCTTTGAACCCCCAGTGTCCGAAGATTGATCAGCTTTGTTGGTCATCGTAACGAGGAAGCAGAAGCTCGAAGAAGACGAAGCGAGAGAGTATGAGGGTTTTTGAAGCGAGATCGAAGAATGCAAATAAAGAGGCAGAGAGAAAACAGAGAGAGCAGAGTAGCTAAAAGCAATGTGGTGGGTTGTGTTGTGAACTTGTCATATTTATGGGCGAGGGAAACTTTTTCTTGTTAGGAAAGGTTTCCTAGTGTTTCTGTAAACATTTTGCACTTTTTACAAGAAAATTTTCCTACTTGAATTTAATTTCCGTGTTCAATAAGGACATAGACCAGTTTCCTAATTGAATTAATTTCCGCAGTCCATAAGGAGGTGCAGCTTCATGTCCATCCCAAAGATTCCTAATTGACATAGGTCTACATATTGAGTCCCTGTAGTTTGCTTTGTTTTACATTTAAAAAGCACTTATAATTTTAATTTTCTCTATCGAAATTTTGTACTTTACTTCAATTAATGCTACCATATATGTCCGGTATTTTTTTTTAAATGTTTTTTTATA